GAACGACAGACGAAGCGCTTTATAGTATGTAAGATGCCATTGCAAAACATAAAAGCTCAAGTTCTGCGAGCTACATGTTTCTGTTAACGGTTGTTCATTCCACTCACTTCATTTTGCGGACGGGCAGACACTACATACATACAGACATACACACAAACCGACACACCAAGCTAGCGGTTTATAAAATAGGGGGTCAGCTTACAATTTAACAAAATCGTCTACCGCATAATAGAAAACGTTAGGCAGATTGAATACTTTCTTGATAACCTTCTGGAGTCGCTAAAATCTCGACAAGGTCTAAGTGTGGAATCAATCACTGATTGCACTGTCTATTGGGACAACCTCCCAATTTTTCCTCAAATTTGACGAGTTTCTCTTCCATATTCCTGGCTCTTTTTCCTGCCAATGGCCTTCTTGCCTTCTTCCATAGTGTTTCGATGACGCTCAGGACATGTGACTGAATTGGCCGCTCCGTTAGAAGCATGCCATGCTGGCGAAACCACTCCTTCACAGTGGAGGTGCGATGCTTTTGGTTGCTCCATTGCTAGAAGACGAAGAATTAGCGTGCAATTGCCACACATGTAGATGGATCACACCTTCCAGAACCTAAGTGCATCCGTCTGCCTTAACCGCTCAGGAATACTGTGAAGTTGTTTGTCTGTGAATTGTAGAAAATAGCAGAGGGTTTAGGCACTTCCGAACTGGAGATCCCCAAGCGCTCCAACGTGGTCTCGAGGGTGAATCTATGATGTTTGTTGGCAACGGCAAGAGCATGTGTGGGGCACTGACGGGAAGCGTTTGGATCCAAAGTACAAGCTGCCTATCCTTGTAACTAGGACGAGACTCGGTCATGGTAGGTCGTAGAGGAAGCTGTACCGCTGCAGAGGATTCGCGAACTGGTGAAGGCAGACGGATGCCGTTAGCTTCTAGAAGGTGTTGTGTATCCACAATGGCAACTGTATGCTAATACAAAATGTCTTTTTTTTTGGCCCCCTCTGTATATTCGTCTTCCAGCAATGGAGCAACTAGTGGTTTCGCCAGCATGGCATGCTTCGAGTGAAATGTCCTGAGCGTCATCGAAACAGTATGCGAGAAGGCAGAGAAACCTGCGGTAAAAAAGCCAAAAATATGGATGAGACTCAACTTGTCAAATTCCAGGAAAAATTGAGTAAGTTGTCCCAATGGACAGTGCAATCAGTGATTGATTCCACACTTAGACCTTGTCGAGATTTTAACGACTCCAGAAGGTTATCAAGAAAGTATTGAATCTGCTCAACGTTTCTATCATGCGTAGATTGTTTTGTTGAATTGTAAGTTTTCTACAATAAATTGAAATTTACTTGGAATTCTGGTCATACTCGAGAATTTCGTAGTGTAAAAATTTTTTCTTTCCTAATTCTTCCTCCTATTCAACAAGAATACACTTGCTGATTTGATTCAGCAGAAAAAAACTTACGGTTGAAAAAGCATATGGCCGAATACTTTTGAGCGCTACTACATATTAGGATGGTAAAAAAGTCCTGAGCCGATTTTTTGAAAGCTCCAGAAC